GGGGATAAAAACCTGCTAAAAGTTTAATTGATATGCTTTCTTGAAGAAGTGAGTTTTCAATGAGATTTTTGAATGAGTGGAGACTGGGTGAAATTCTTACGGATATGGGAAGGGAGTTCCGAAGAAGAGGTGCAGCCCTGGAAAAGTCTTGGAGGCGAGCGTTAGAGGTGGGAAAACGGACAGAGGATATATGTATGTCTTTGGCAGAGGGTAGGGGCCTCGATGGGACATACTTGTTTATTAGGGAGGATAGGTAGGTTGGAGCAACATTATGTGGTGACTGACAGAGCGGGGAGGCGTGGGAGGTGAGAGCGGACAGGAAAATTAGCCTTGCCGCCGCATTCATTACAGATTGCAACGGTGCAATCTGGGAACACGTAAAACCACTGAGAAGAGTATTGCAGTAGTCCATTCAAGAGAGAACAAGAGCATGGACCAGCACCTTAGCCGCATCCGGGGTTAAACAGGGGCGGATGCGCGCTACGTTTCTGAGATGGAAGCAATAGGATTTGGCGATTGATTGGACATGAGGGGTGAAGGAGAGGTTGGAGTCAAAAAGAACACCCAAGCAGCGAGCCTGCGAGGTAGAGGTGATGGTAGCGCTGTTGACTTGGAGGGAGACAGACACAGGAGTAGTAACACCTGAGGCTGAGGGAGGAAAGATCAGAAGTTCCTATCCCCAACCTTGTTGCACTCGCCACCCCTCACCATGTCACAATCACCTCCTCACTCTATTAAACTCACCCCCACAAGACTACGGGAAATTTTGGTGATTCTTACACAACTCAAGGTCAGGACCCTCATGGTTCCCACCCCTGATTCCGCCCACAAGGATGCAGGGTGTGTGTAGTGAATGCAGTGTGTTTGAGTAATGAATGCAGTATGTGCATAGAGCATGTGTAATCAGGGCCATATTTCTGCATTGGCATGCTGGGTAGTTGGCCGGGGACCCCACAGGGGCCCCACTGCACTACCTCACACACACACACCCCCCCACACACACAGCACCCCTCACACACACAATGTAATGATGCAGAACATGTGTAGTAGATGCAGTATGTGTAGTGGGTGATGTGTGCAGTCGATGCAGTGTGTGTTTGTGTAGTGCAAGCATGTCAAACTTGTAGCCTGGGGGCTGCATGCGGCCCACAGTGGATATATTTGCGGCCCACCTACCCTGGGACCACTTTATTGTGGCGATGACCAGCAGCAAGACAGGAAAGATATTTCCTGTTTGATTCTTGTCTTCCCTCTCAGAGCCGATCATGTGCTCCCACAGGACAGCCACTCCCCCTTCCCTCCTGCTCGCAATATGTGACGGACCGCTTGGCACCCCGACCAGGTACCTCCGTCAATCGCTGCTCCTAGTGTTCACCGAGGACTCCAAGCACTCCACCAGACAAGCGCCGTAGACTCCCACAAACCTCCACAGCCTGGTGGGGGATCTCGCTGTCCTCCACCCACCCTGGACCCAAGACCAGGATCCAGCTTCCAGTGGGTAGACCTCTCCTAGTACAGAGAGTGTAGCAGGAACAGCTCTTATAAGAGCTAGTGATTATACTCAGGGGAGTATTGTGATATAGCAATCCCCAGAGTGTATGCACTTCTCCAATCCCTAGACTTCATGAAGGGGTAAACAAAGCTCAGTTTAATGGGAGCCATACTTGGCCTAAAATGACAATCCCATGCAAGGGGTACACCCACAGGGACTTGTGGGGGACTGATTTGCATCTTCACAGACCCATAACAATGAGGTTACAAGGCACGACACTCCCACACACAGCACATAATCCCTCCCCTCTGCCTGTGAGATAATTGGATCAGTAACTGTACTAATTCTAATGCAACTATCTCCAAGCACAAAAAAACATACTTTTTAAAAACATCCTAAAAGTACCCTAGAAATACATAAAACCCCACAAATGTTACATCCCCTGATATCCATGATATGGGTGACCGACATATCCAAAAATCACCCAGATAAGTGCAGGGGTTCAGGAATTTCAAGTCATTTATTTGACTGACCGCAGGCATGGTCCCATAGCTGAAAATAGTTCAAATAGACAAACGGAGACTTTTATATCACAGTTTACAGGGTCCATAGTCTGTGGGCAGGAGGTTGGCAAGCAGGCCCCTCCAAGAACTCGTGGCAAACTCACTTGAAAAGAGGAGTTTGTCACACAGTGCCAGAGTAACGTCTGGCCTGCGTGAGCAGAGAAGAGCAGGGCTGGAACTGGAGGACGGACGGCTCATCTTAAGGAAGGTGAAGAGGGGCTTGGGGGACATTCCTGTGTAGTGTGCTAAACTGGCTGGGGAGGGGCAGTGTATTAATTTGAGGGAGGGAGGTGACAGTGTATTAAATTGGGGGAGGGAGTGGGCAGTGTATTATTTTTTGGGGCAGTGTATTTGAGTGGTCGGAGGGGGAGGCAGTGTATTAGAGTGGTAGGAGGGTGGCAGTGTGTTGAATTGGAGGGAGGGCAGTGTATTACTTTGGGTCTGCATGGAGGCGCCGAACGCTCCCCATGGAGATACTGATTGACTGCGCTGCTTTTTGCCACACATGCACAATAGCCTCCCAATGCGTTCCTCTGGGAAAGCATTGGATTGGCTTGGCTAAGATCATCAAGTTTGATGATCTCAGACAAAATGAAGAACACACGCATAGGACTTAAAACAAGAAAACGGCATTTGTTTTTTACAGCTGTGAAACAGCATACATTCATCAGTTCAGTCCCATTATCAAACTTTTCTTAATATGTCAAGGTAGTTGGACTGAAACATTGGTTATATGCAAATACATGTCTCTTTATAATAAATGTGAAGCCCTACGAGTGTGAGATCATCCAGTGTCAGGCAACTTTTTTTATACTATACTTTTCTAAATAAACCTAAGTTTCTATGAAAACTGAAGTTTTTGGGGGTTTTTTGCGGCCCACATAAACATAAACCTTGTTTATTTGGCCCGTGTTAGGCTTTGAGTTTGACATGCTTGGTGTAGTGGATGCAAATTGTGTGAGTATATATGTGGATAAATGGGCTTCATTATGTGGAAAAATGTTTTTATTATCATGAATTTGTTATGGCTACCAGTGGCTAGGGAGGGGGAACATCACACACATTATGGCCCGGTGGCATTGTGCAGGGTCTCAGCTGCTGTGTAGTGAAGAGTGCCCAGTCAACATGATCTACAGCTTCCAGAAGCTCCTCTCTCCAACTCTCGCAAGTCCAGTCTGCGTGTTGTGCGAAGCATTCCCATGGTAATCCGCAACAATGCTGTGACAGTTAGAGAGCGCTTCTGAAAGCTGAAGATTGCGTGTGCTGAGCCCCTCTTCACTATACAAGGTGCCCTGGGGCCGCAGGGACAGTGGTGGAACTAACAAAGAGAGGGCCCTGAGTGCAAAATAATTTTGGGGCCCCTTTCTAGCACACGGGTTGCTAAAATGTAGATCCCCATCTGTCGTACAAGTTCCACAATGCTCTGCCAGCTGGAGATCTACAATTTGCTCATCCTCACAGGGTTGTATTTAGCACTGAGCAGTGTTTTTATGTTTGAATGTAAGCACTTGTTTGAATGGAGTATGTGTGTGTGAATGTTGGTGTTTGAATGCAGACTTGCATTTTTGTGTAGTGCCACACACACTGATACCCATATACACACTGATAAACATACACACACTGACATACATACATACAAATAGGCACACACTGACACATGCAAATACACAGACATACATAGGTACACGAACAAACACACTGATAAACACACACTGACACTCGCTGACAGAGGGTTTTTTGTTTGCATCTCTTTTTTTTTTTTAAGCATGTTTTTTGCATTTTTTTATTATTTCTAATAACAGAGTCAGTAATAAAAAAGATTTTATTTATAACATATTTTTACAGGATTTAGATTAAGAAAACCTACCCCACCCACAGCTCATCAAACGGGGCATTGGAAAGGTTTAAAATCTCCCATGCACTGATATAAGGGTAATATTGAACTCTACTGGCTTTTTAAAATAAACTATTTGCCGACTGACTGTTTTGCCAGAAAAATTATTTATTATCAGCTTCAAACTGTCAAATCCAATACGTCCATTTTTTGGTTGCTTTAGATGCAGAAATTTGTTCAAGCCAGTTTGTCCAAATACAATTCCTGACAATTGTCCAACTAACCAATTCCTGATCATTTTACCAGTAATTTTACCTGTGGAGTCTGCAGGTGAGACAAATTGATATCTATTTGTTCTGGTTTTGACAAACAAAGTTTATTCAAACAAAATGCTGCAAACAACTTTTTCACATATCTATTAAGATAAATAGAAAATATTTATTTTGTTACAAATAACTCTGGCAATATTAATCTATAGGGATAAATTTCCCCTATTATCTCATAGTAAAACCCATCAATAATACAAGTGATATAATTAACTGAAAAATGGATAAACAAAATATATACATTACTCTACTCTAATTTATTGATAGTTCACTTGATCCATAAATAGTCCATAACAATGCCTGGCACAAATTATAGGCACTATACCATACAAGTATTCTGTTGAAAACAGTGCACACATAGAGAAGTAAAATTTCTGGAAATGTTTCCCTGTTTTTTTCTGGAGAAAATTGAAAATTTTAAATAGAAATGTAAATTATGCGTGACAACAGGTAACTCCACCTCCCACCCTTCCGCGAAGCAACAAAAAAATAAGAAAGAAGAAACAATCAACATAAAATAAA